ACTGAAATTAATGAGCCTCATAAAGATTCCTCTGAAATATCAAGCGCTGAAAATTTTGCACCTGGTAATGGATCTATTGACTTTGCTAAACTTCCATCCCTCTCTGATGTGCCAAAGGTTAGTCTGTTTTTTTTAAATGAATTCAATTTTACTGCCTTTGGTTCATGATGAATAATATGCCTTTCTTAAAAAAATGCCTTTCTTAAAGATTTTGCTGGAGGCTTATAGAAAGTGTAATTAATGATGTGTGATCTGCCGCATAGCCTTCTAACACTACATATTAGGATAGAAGTATGTGTGCCAAATGGTATCCTCTTTATTGTAGGAAGGCGATGTGATTGCATACCGTCTACTTGAGGTATCATCCAATTGGACTGCTGAGCTTTCCCCATACCATGTATTTCATCGCAATTCTATACTTTTGTATTTTGGTCACAGGCGATCTGTTTTGACATATTACCTTTTTACCAAAGGTTGGCAAAATATTATCATTCAATTCTAAATCAAGCAGAGCTTCATTAATGCCTGTTGCTGGATATCCATTCTATTCTACTAAAAATAAGCCCGGTGAAGATGAATGCACAATGAAATTGGATAGTTCTCTTTATAGAGAGGATGGATCATTGGAGGTAATAGCACATCCATATTTTAGGGGGGGAAACTCTTATTTCGTGCAGCAACTGCTATAATAAAAATGTTATGCAGATAGATTTGTCGTCCCTCGTTGATGTCCGGGCTGTAAAACCTCCTACCTTGCTTCTCCCTTCAAAAGTAGATTCAATTGGTAACAACAATGACAAGTCAAGACCTTCTGGTCAAGGTAACTAGCTTCTTTTTTTCAAAGTGAAATACATATGAGGAGGATAGTTTAATGCTAGCTGCACATTGTCGTTATATTCTGCACTGAAATTATTGTTTATTGTGTTTTACAGAAAATAGGGTCATAGTAAATCATGAAAACAATATGTGTGGCGGTGGTGGCAGCCAAGGTATTGATTCAAGTCATTATGTTTTTCTTGGTCATTTGTTGCCTATGATGAAGATGGTGTTACTCCATATACTGTTATTCATAAATAATAAAACCTAGCCTGTGTTTGAATCCTGGCAAATACTAGGAAAGTTGGAAAAGGAAAGAAAATGTTAAAAAAGGAAAACCACTTTCTTATCTTTAGATTTTTTTGTGTAAGATTACAAATTTATGCATTAGATTTGTATGACATGATAAAAATAAATAAATAAAAATGAATGCAAACAAGCATTTAAAATAAATATATTGAATTCGAAACAAAATTTTATTTTCCTCAAGTTTTTTATGCATTTAGATTTGTATTACATGATAAAAATAAATAAATAAAAATGAACGCAAACAAGCATTTAAAATAAATATATTGAATTCGAAACAAAATTTTATTTTCCTCGAGATTTTCTTTCCATCAATATCTCCTATATTTTCATATCCATTTTTTCCCAAACAAACTCCTAATAATGTGGTACTGTGGTATCTTTCCATCAGTAGAAAGTAGAGAGGACATGTGGGAGCAACTCAGCGTGGCTTTATCTGCAAAGAAAGAGCAGCTTTCACAGCAAAGTAGCAGTTGGGGTAAGGTTATTCCAAGCAAGAGTAGTTGGTCATACGAAGCTTGTGGGTTACAGCCTCGAAAGGGCTTCTCCAGATGGAAAAAACAAGAGATGATCAGATGAGTAAGCGAGCACCGTGTGAGACCTGAGTGATGGAAATGGTGACGGGGATGAATCATTTTCATAATATATATTTGGTATGTCTTTCCTGACTCGCGAATTTGCTTGCCTGACTCGCGAAACAGATAACATAACCTAAGCATCGGGTGGGTTAGACCCAATATTTCCACCTGTAAATTGCCCATTCACATTCTATGCAGTAAGATAACTTGTCTCAGAAAGTGAATTCAGTCTTGTCCACTGCCAACTTTATGAAACATAAAAAGTGGTTCCATACATCCATGCAAAGATAAATAATGAGTCACACATTTAGCATTATTAATCTTAGAACAAGCTCATGTATCACAAGTGTTTATTACTATAGATCTGTCTTTGGTTTATGTGCTATCAATTTTTTCGTTGCATTGCTTAGGCATTCTGCGTTTGTTTGAACCGTACAACCTTCAACTAGCATAACATATCATTCCATTTGCTGTACTATAAGATAATGAATGGTGTCCAAGACCATTAACGTTTCTATTGGTTGCTATTTTGTTCTGATGTGAATAAATATAAAAACTTAAACTCGTCTTTTAAATACACTTTCATTTCATAGCCTCTTTTTTCATTTCATAACCCTTTTTTTCATTTCATAGCCTCATATCTTATCTTATTATTAAATTAAATCCATTTAGAACTATTTGGATTCCTACCTTAGGGCATTCACAATGGTAGTCAAGATTCATTTTTAGGAACATAATTTGACCTTCCGTCCCAAAAAGATTCGCCAAATTGACTTTTCTTGGTCAATGACAATCAACTTTGACCGATGATATTTTTAATACAAAACTATTTTGAATACGAAAATTATATCAAAATGTTCCTTATTCAAAATATTTTCATAAAAGTATAAAATTCAAAATTATACGTAGTATATAAATATAATAATTAAAATCATTGTCAAAAGTTTGGTATCATTGACCAAGAAAAGTCAATATGACAACCATTTTTCAGCACGTAGGTAGTTTGCTATTATGAGGTTGCCTTTATGTTCTTAATTTTGACACTCGTTCTCGAACTTAACACATGTTCATACCCAGTAAAGTAAATGAAACCAAAAAATTATAAGGCGAGACACATTGCATAATTTGAACATCATTATTGTGAAATAAAGTATAAATAATGTGACAATTATGAACTAAGAACTTGACACCATTAATGTGGATGATCTGAGGTAAATTGATGAAGTTCCATGCTTCCATGTACGGTTCACCCTTGTAGTGTTGCATTCCCTTTAAACCGTTTCCTTCCAAAACCATGCATCTATGGACCTCATAACCTCTAGATAACCTTCTGGGTGTTCAATTAGGTACACAAATGTGAAGGACATAACAAAGATCACATTTATATAACGTTTTTAACATTTGCATCATTTGTGTATTGTGAGGGTGTTTCAGTTTGTCACAAAACCTCATGTATATGTGTGTGTCTTGTTATTGTAAGAGCAAGAAAAGCATCATATTGTAGATATCCAGGTACTGCTACCTCCACACCATGATATGATGCTCCATCCTCCAATGAAAAAAGGTATGAATAGGCATGGACTGCAATATGGGCAACATTTAGATGTTCCCCAGCCATGCCTATAAATGGGAATACTACTGGTTGCTGTAAACCATCATAAAGAGAGCAATACACTTGTGACAAAAAAAGTTTGAGGGTTGATTTTTGTAGTTGAGTGACTTTCAATCTTAACATATGTCACATACATAATACTAACTCTGTCCCAAACAATAGTTACAAAACTTTTTGGGCACATAGATTAAGAGTGTAGGATAAAAAAATAGTTTTTTACATTTACTGTAATAATGAAAAAATAGTTGAAATAGTGAGTTGGAATGACAAATGTTTACTTTTAAGTAAAAGAAATTGTAAAGTATGAATTGTATGTAGGACATTTTAAACTGACGTCTTTGATAATAAAATGATGTAAATGAATTTTGTAGTGGTGTGAATTCAATGCAATTGCTGTCTAAATGAAGAGCGGTTTGGTAACACTAAATTGACTACAACATTCAAACACTAAAAAAATAGTTTTTTACATTTACTGTAATAATGAAAAAATAGTTGAAATAGTGAGTTGGAATGACAAATGTTTACTTTTTAAGTAAAAGAAATTGTAAAGTATGAATTGTATGTAGGACATTTTAAACTGACGTCTTTGATAATAAAATGATGTAAATGAATTTTTTAGTGGTGTGAATTCAATGCAATTGCTGTCTAAATGAAGAGCGGTTTGGTAACACTAAATTGACTACAACATTCAAACATTCGAGCCTTGTTTGTTTGTTCCCAAAAGATTTTGGGGTTGACCAACATGAGATTGATTTATAATATATTTTTTAAAATTGAATGAATCTGTGAATTATGAAAGATAAAATTTTAATAAATTTTATTAATATATTAAAGAAAAAAATATACACAAAATAACTAAAATTGTCTTCTATAACAATTTCATCCAATTGAGCAAAAAAAGTAATTTTACCTTTACTTATTTTAGTTATTACAAATTCATGTGTTGAATCAAAAGTTATAAAAAGAGGATTGATAAATTTGATAAATTGGAAATATAGTAATTGTTCTAAACAAGATTAAAAGTTAACCAAAATGCACTAATAGGACTGTGTTTTTAATTCTCTAAACAGAACTTATTTAATCCTATTAAATTATAAAATTTTGTCAATTAGGAACGAATGATATTATTTTGGGAAGAAATCAGTAGTGGTACTATTTATACACTTCGTTTTTTATTCTAATTTAAAAAATCTCTCTTGAAAATAAAGGTTACTAAAGGGCCTCAAACTCTCAAAGTATGATTGGACTTCAAACGTGTAAAAATGAAATACTACCGAATTGTAAACAAAAGTAAAAAGCAACGAGCGGTAATTATTAAATTTTTTAGTTTTAAAAAGCATTTCATTGTTTGTACAAAAGTTCAAAAATCAAGCATAAGCATGAGTGGTAATTATTGACATTTTTTAGTTTTTAATAAACATTTTATTTTTTAAATTAAAAAAAAACATGCAGGAAATGAGATTGCAATGAAATGGAATATGGGATATTTTTTAATACAACATCATCGAAGCCTTATTCCTAAAAGATTTTGAGATCAACTAACATTCATCAAAATGAAAAATTAGTTTATTTTTTCAAAATAAAAGTATGCAGTATGCTCGTTTTTTGACCAAAGCGAAGGCGCCATGAGTTTTGCTTGACCAACGCATATCACCGTTTACCCAAAACGTCATTTATTTTGAAATGCATGCACATAAAAATGAGGTGGAGAATTGGACAGATGGGTCAAAATAAACTTGTGACAATTGTGGCCTTTTGGGGTGAAATAGAAAACAAAACTTGGGTTTCTATTTCTGGTCTTCCGACAATGCGTATTGCTTGCAGCTGTAGATGGAACTTTCCAAGGTAGCCTTGTCCTAAACAAACAAGTGAAGTTTTTCAACAAATCTCACGCAATGACTTTTGTCTCTCATGATTCTGCAATCTGCATTGCTCTTTATTTCCTCTAAGTTCTGCATCTCTCTTTCTGCTAAATCACTTCCCATAAATAAAGAAAATAAAACCATCCATGAAGTTTATGAAACTTGGTTCTGGCCATGATGCTTCTTTCTGCATCACTGGTGCTGCTAGGTAATCCTTATCATTCATTCAGTCCTCTTATCTGTGTTCACAATATTGTAAGTTTTTTTTGTATGAATTTCTTTTATTTACTTGAAATGCAGAACATTGCTCCCTGAAGTTTCAAGTGATCTTACAGTGGAAGTGAATGAAACCATATATTTACTTCACAAGGTAGCAATAGTTAAATTGCATCAAAATATTAAATACACAAAATGAGTTTACAGGATAGAATCTGGTGTTAGAACTGTAATTTTTTTTGCTGCATAGTATATGCTCCATACCTGATCATTTTTCTTTTGAATGAACTCTTTTTGTGAAACAGTTTCCACTCTTCTCCAAGTGCTTGAGGCTGCACAAACAAGCATGTTCAGATTGGGCAGAAACCTCCGGGCAGGCCAAGCAGCCCCCGACAGTCGAGCTCCCGGATTTTCCGGGCGGACTCGAGGCGTTTGAGCTATGCACAAAATTCTGCTATGGCTACACCATAACTCTCAGCGCCTACAACATTGTTTCCGTCCGATGCGCTGCAGAGTATCTGCAAATGACAGAGGAGATCGAGAGAGGGAATTTGATAAGCAAACTTGACACCTTTTTGAATTCATGCATTTTCCATGGCTGGAAAGACACAATTGTGACATTGCAGAGCACCACCAAGGAGGGAGGGTTGCAAGCATTGTCAGAGGAACTCGGGATCACCTCTCGGTGCATCGACGCCATAGCCTCAAAAGTCAGGGCGGCGAATCCTGGAAAGGCGAACCTCTCCCGGAGCTACTCCATTAGAGGAGGCAGTAAAGGGCCAGAGAGCGGACAAAGGCAAAATAACAAGACTTGGTGGGGTGAGGATTTGGCTGAATTGGACGTAGATTTGTATTGGCGGACTATGGTAGCTATCGGTGGCGGGGAGAGAGTTAGGGTTCCGGCTAATGTTATCGGCGACGCTTTGAGGATATACGCGTCTCGTTGGCTTCCAAGTTTAGACGATTTTAGGTCAGAGGAAACTTCAACAACTAAATCAACATACAGGCTTGCAGTTCTGGAGGTAATTGTGAGACTATTACCGGAGGAGAAAGGGCCGGCGGCGGTTTCCTGTGGCTTTCTGCTGCAATTGCTGAAAGCCGCACATTTTCTCGGAGCATCGAGCTCGTTCAAAGTTGAGATGACGAGAATGGCTGCCGCCCGGTTGGAGGATGCCTGCGTCGGCGATTTACTGGTTCTGGCATCATCAATGGACGACGAGACGATGTATGACATCGATATCGTGATGAACGTACTGGAAGAGTTCATGTGCTCGGAGGGGAAGAGTTCTCCAGTGGCGAGAACGAGGGAAACAGGCGGGGACGAGTCCTCCGAGAGAAGTGGAACCCCGTCTCTGGACATTGTTAACCTGGATGATTTCCAAGACATGAGTGTGTCTTCTTCTTCTTCATCGCCGGCTTCACACAGCTCGAAGCTGATGAAGGTGGCCAAGCTGTTTGATGTTTATCTGCAGGAGATCTCCAGGGTGGACCCTAATTTGCCTCTTTCCAAGTTCACTACCATTGCTGAATCCATCCCGTATTTTGCTCGAGCAGACCATGACGATCTCTACAAGGCCATTGACATCTATCTCAAGGTATACTATCAAATTGTCTTCGCACAAGCAATTTCTCTTGTTTGTGCACAGAAACAAGACTTATTTATAAAATATGATTAAGTTATTATGAGTATAGTGTAATGGTCATCTAAATGTAAAAACAAAATAGAAATTACATTTATTAAAGTTACTGAGTTTTTACCATTTTTAGTCTCCAATTATTATATCAATGACACTTTTGTTATTCAACTTTTAGTTTTTTCAGTTTTAGTCCTCAATTATTGTGCGAGAGATACGTTTGGTCCTCGATCTCCAAGTTCCCACATTTAATCCCCTGATTATTATCAAATTGACGTTTTTAGTTCTTTCACTATGATTTTGACACAATAAGTAAAAGATTGAAATTGTCACTATTATAAAAGTTGAAGAACAAAAAATGTCACTTCTGTGAACGTCGAACCACTAAAAGTGGAATTTTTCAAATACGAATATCAAAAGTGTCTGTCGCACAATAGTTGAAGCACTAAAAATGAAAAATTCAAAGGTGAATACTAAAAATGTCAGTAACATAATAATTGAAGGACTAAAATGACAAAAAACTCTAAAGTTACTATTTTTCGTACATTTGATATATCGTATTTTTATAAACATCGTTGATTTTAATTATAAATATAAATCCTTTCATTACGCATTGTTTTTTGTTGTTGATAAATTGCATACATGGAGGCAAAATACATTGTTTTTTGTTGTTTTTCATGTATTGCATACAAGAGTGTGTACACACTCTTGTACACACCATGTTTGTGAAGTTTTTTTTTGTCTGTGAACCCGGTTCACAGACAATATTTTGTTTGTGCAAAACATTGTCTGTGAATCGATGTTCACAGACAAAAAAAAAGCTTTCACAAACATAGGTGTGTACAAAAGTGTGTATAAGAATGTGTATAAACATCATTTTTGACGGAGAAACATTGATTTGTATTTTCATATTTGACTGGACTGACTTTGACCTTCACTTGGACTTTTTAATCAACAGAGTCACCCGGAACTGAACAAGAGCGAAAGGAAACGAATATGCAGTACCCTGGACTGCAGGAAACTGTCAATGGAAGGCTGCATCCACGCAGCCCAGAACGAGTTACTCCCATTAAGGGTTGTGGTCCAGGTCCTCTTCTTCGAGCACGCTCGGGCCGCCGCCATGTCCAACGGCCACCTACTGGAGCTGCCCAGCAACCTTAAAGAAACATGCATGATATCCAATGATGCTGATGATCACATTTCAGCCAAAAAGAAACTGAGCTCCCCTCCTGATGATGATCATGATCATGGCCTGTGGAGTAGGGCTGCATCCGGGCTTGATCATAGTAAAGTGACCCTCAAAATGAAACTGGCCGAAGACGACGACGACGAAATCGAGGATCAAATCTTTGCCACTGTTTTAAAGAAATCGTCTTCCAGATGTTTTAAAATTTTCTCACAGAGGTGATCGATAATGGGGGTCGGACCACTTTGAGCCCTCCGATCAAAAATAAAAAATTATCGGTAGAAGATTAAGGGGTCCATTTTTTCACGGTTTTAGTTTTAATCGCTTCCGATACCTCGAGAGTCGAGACTGGAAGGCAGAGGATCTGAATCCATGCAGGTTAGAAAATGAGGTCGGGCATCGACTAAATACCCTCATCATATAGAGTAGGTAAATCAATAGGGGCAAGTTTACATTTTTTCCTTTGATCTATAATCTAACCGATATGACAATCCGTGTCTTCGAAGGAATTTTGTTTTTTGTTTTCTCAAATATTATTGTTAATCATACTAGTAATTTTTTTAAAAAAAGGGATGACTCCTTTATCTTGATCCAAAAGGTGGAATCTCCCACCCCCGGAGCCCCCTACACCTCGATCCGACAGGGCACGTGGGAGGATGTAAATCACGGTGACTTAGTCGGCGGAGCAGCTGTAGGCTCATATGCCATGTGCGCGCCAGAGGTCCAGCCCATTTCAGAGGCTGTGGTCTCCACACAGAGGGAGGTGGTGCTTGCAATTGTGACCTCCAACTCTATAATTTTTGGCTTTACGTAATTTAGATCATTTAAAAAAACTAATGATTCTTATTGTTTATTTCTCCCATACATAAACATCAACCAAACAATATTTAATGTTATAACACACTCAAGACAACACCAGTCTCAAGTCTCATAAGTTTATCATTACATGTCCTGCCTATCTTAACATCAAATCACGCTTAGCTTACTAATAAAACAGTGATCATTATATAGAAAAAACATAACTCAAGGTAATGACTATATTAATAATTCATTAGACATTTAATTCACACCACACAACAAGTCCATAAGACCATACTCGTTATAACTTTAAATTAGTCACATTTTCATTAATATGTAAATTGTATTTCTCAAGAAAAAGATTTAGTAAAATTATTGAAAAGGAAAACCACATACTTGGAAAAGAGACTAATATGAGGCCCTAGAACTGGTGAGATGAATAAAAAAGTGAGACAAAACATATACGGAGTATAAAATGACGATACGTTGGGTCAAAAGATAGGAATTGCATGCCCGACTTAATATTATTATTATTATAATAAAATTATAAAATTGATATAATTAAGTTGGTGTAGCTCAATCATTTGGGCCCATGCATGTTGCTTTGCACTTTCTTATGATAGAAAAATGGCCCATTTATCGCGTATTCGAAATTATTATACTCTCGGCGTCAAATCCTGCTCTGTTCGATTGGACTGTCAACCACTAGCAACGCATTTGGACAGCAAATTTGCTACAGTCAAGTCAAACATGATTTTTGTGAAGTATTCCTAATTGATTAGAGCTGTTTACACCGAGTCAATAAAATTATGTTACATACAGCTTATTTCTAATTAAATCTATGATCCGCCTTCATCATTACTCTCCTAATACAAGAGTCTATTGACTACCATCCAAAACCTCTAGACAATCAAATTCGGATATTATCACAGTCAGCCTTCGTCGGTACTAGTATCACAGGACGAATCCAACAGGACTCCTTTTCAACTGAATCCAGAAGGGTCCTCCTACTATGCAGGGCTTCCTTTCATCTGTATCTAGAAGAGTCCTTCCACCACGCGAACTCGCGACCAATTTCCATCCGCTCCCTTCTAAGCTGTTGTGCAACTCCGTGAAGGTAGGAAGAATCATTGGGAGCAAGACCTCCCTCCTTTCCCCTAAATGTGCCTAACGGGATTCGAATCCGAGACCTCCGCTAGGACACGGTAACCTCCCATCTAGTGAGCTGGAATGGTTGGTTAGAGCATCAAGGATAGACATGGGCTTCCTCGTATAGAACTCTTTCTTCCACTTATGATATACTCCGTAAAATAGAACTTGACTATATATATATATATTAGGGAGTATAAAATGAGAACAATTGTGTTCACCCCCTCAAAAGAGCGTCCCCTACTCTATTAGGCAGCCACATGGCATGACAATTATTTTAAATTTGCAATTGTTATAATTTTTTCTTTTTTAGTTCAAATTTTCAAAAAAAAAATAGTATTTTTAAGTTTGTATGATCTTTCATATGATCCTAATATTGTATACTTTTAAAAAACAAAATTGGCTAAAAATACATTTAAGAAAAAAAGATTTTCTCCCCCAATTTATATATATATGCAATATGGATATCATTGGAAAGATCATAAAACATTATTAAATCTAATACGGAGTATATCTTTTGTGAAAATTAGATTATGTATAAACAAATTATAATAATTGTATTGCCAAATGACATCCATTATAGAGAGGGGTAGAGAGGGGGTGATGTTCACCCTCCTTATACATTTAAGAAGCCTTTCCATGAATAGTTAAAAAACATCTACAATAAAATGGGAAATAAAATGTATATACTCCCTCCGTTCCAAAATTATCTTCATAGTTACTATTCACACGGTCAACTCAAATTACTCTTAAACTTTTATTTTATATATCAAATTTTTATCAAACTTAAATTTTCTTGATCAGCCTTTGTAGCGGGTTTAATGTAGTTTCTGAATATGTAAATTTAATTTACTAAAAATAATCTAAGTGTGAACAGGGATCAAGTTGCTTTATCGTCAGTCAAGCATCGTAAACCGAACTACGAAGATAAATATGGGACGGAGGGAGTAATACTTTTCATGTTTTTAATTGGACTCAAATTTTCCGGTTTGACCTGATCTACATTGAAGTCATGTGGTCGGATTTTGTAAAAGTTTGTTCTATGTGTATTTTACGATAGATAAAATGTATCCAAACAAATAGAAACGAATACGCAAAGTTATTTTTTAATTTTCATTAGAAATATAACAAGTGATATATGACACTCGTAGTTGTTCTAGCATCTTAGATCTGTTGTGTTTTAAAGTTAATTACTCATGATTCTAGAACTAAAAATAAACTAGGAACTAAAATTTGAAACAACTTAACATGAGTTGTTTAAAGGTCACATACTTAGACTGATTTTGTAAAAGGCCGCCGTAAGATTGTAAGAAAAGAAGTCAATAGGAAACCCAAAACGTTTTGGAGAAGCTCATTTTTTCACTTTTGAAGACTGAAAAGTTTCTGAGAAATGTCTGTGGCCTTCACTAACTTCTTTGTTGAGCCAGAAGTTTGCGGCAGTTATCAATGGTATTTAGAAAGTCATAATGAACATTGCAAGAAGTTGAGATAATCATATGGTTTCATATTTTGTTATTGTTCTTAATCATCTTCCTAAAAAACCACCATTGAACAGGTGGTGAGTTCTTGGGCATAATAACCTCAACAATATTAATACTTCAAAGTAACTGCTAGTCTGCTACGTATTGCTTGTGACTTGTGATTGAAGGTACTTTTGATAACTCATACTTTTGAGTTTTGATAACTGGATCATGAATTTATTGTTTATTTACTTCAGGTTTACTTTATAAATTTATTATTTAAGTTGAATTTGCAGTTTTGGGCTTTTGGTGCATCCACAGTTGTAAAAAGTACATTTTCAATTACTCACCGTTTAGCTTTTACTGTATGAAGAAATTAACGGAGTTTTAACTTGCTAAAAATTGAGAGACAGCGTTGTGATGCTGAAAATTAAAACCAAATCCACTATCACCAGTTCAACACAAGTGTGGGACACCAAAAGTGCAATTTTCTGTAGAACAAATTTTGGATCAATTTTCCCAGTACTACCCGTACTTTTTTCTTAACGAAACTGTAAAATAGCATCTCTAGTTGTATTCTTTATCCCTCTATTTTAAATCTAAATATGCTCAGACGGTTAAAATGCATATCTATTTCAGAAGGGGAGTATACATTTGGCTTTGAGAGCTACTACATTCAATTAGGACCCTATAGTAGAGAGTAAAAAGGCATAATAACCCTCTATGACTTGTGCTTTGCCCCTTTCGATTGTGAAGACCACATTGGTGGAATGATTCTATGTTGTTTTGGGGGAATTTCGTCCTGTTTACTGGCATCTTCTTTGTGGGAGTCCTCATCATCAACAAGGATATCCTTTGAGAATGCATCTGGATTTGTCTTTATACAGTTCTGCAGAGCCACAAAAGGATGAACACAGTCCGAGCCCTGCAATATTATAGGAATCAACAATGCCCCGTAAGATTTTATCACAAGCAAACAACATGCATGCTCCTGGGAACTAGTCAAGTGCCCCGGGGAGGCGGGGATCAAGGGGCTAAATAGCTGGATGGCCCTTCCCTTTCCCTTTGAAACGTACAGGACCGAGCCTGTAAATGAGACTAAGACCCTACAGGTGCTGATTGATTGGACCCATAGTGTATCGAAGAGTAAATTGGAAATCAATACGACAGACTTCATGAGTAATCCCCTGCAATTTAACTTATTTACCTACATTCTAGGGAATTTCCATCATTTGCAATGGGAGCCAAAGATTCATTATTTTTGGCTTGAGATTATGATGGAAGCAAAACAGCTCACTAAATTGTCTGCGCTTCTTTGTTATGGAGCAGCAATCAGTCCATGCAATTTTGGACGCGATTTTCACTATGGGTCATCCGGAAACAGTCTCCCTGTGCTTTAGTACAGGGGTAAGACTGCATACATCCGACCGCCCCTTACCCCACCGTAGGTGAGAGTCTTTGCGGCACTGGGGTAAATGAAAATGAAATGACCTACATTCTAGGGAATAGGACAGACGAGGCCTCAAATTTCAGGCACAACCCCATTCTTCCCAAAATGAAACAGGGCATCTTGTTGAGTTTTGTATTTTGTAATTTATGATGAGCTATTGGCAGATGATAATACATCTAGAAAAGTTTTTGTTTTTAGATGTTGAAAGGGGTGATTAACAAAAGCATATAACAGGCCGAAAACTTTTGACCTAAGTACATACCTTTTCTTCAGCTGTGCTTTTGAGGAAACAGAGGAAAGCATCAGAGAACTGTGAACCACAGGGACCACTCCTGAGGTGAGCAATGCAAGGACATTCCAGAGCTTTCTCAGCCTTCTCATCAAGTGACTAAGCATGTAGAGAAAACCAGCATTTTATGTAGCAGAAACATAGTTCAAATTTAAATTAATGGGAAATCTTACTTTTTCTCTACATTCTAATCAGGTTCATGTCTTTCATATTTGTAAATGTGACCCCTCTTTTATTCTAGTGAAGATTATGTGTCTTATGTTGCTCGGTATTAAATGCTGTTATAAATTAGTGAACGACATGACTATAGAAACTATCTCAGGATCAACTAATCGTTGTCGCATTATATATTCTTTGCAAGTAAAAAAGATCTATCATAAAAAAGGAATCTGGAATTTCTCCTCATTAACCCATGAAGATTGCAAGTTGCAACAAGAAAGTCATCCTGGACAAATGATAGGAATGGGCCTATTATTAGAGATAATAATAAGTGGGCCTATTATTGTAGATAATAATAAGTGGGCTTGTACTATAAATAGAAGTACTATAAATAGTAAGGAAGGAGGGAAAGGAGAAAGGAGGCAAGTATTCTGTCGGAATAGGCTTGGAGACTGGGCATCTCAAATTGTCCTAGGCACTGTATACGTTCTGTATTCTTCTACATCAATAAACTTCCTATCGATCTTATTTCTTGATAATTGCTTGTGAATTTTACTGTGTTCTGAGTCGGATTACCAGTGGTCTATCAACAAAACTGTCATGATATATGTAATCCAATAAGTGATGGCGCTCACTGATTCCAAACAATTGGTTTACACTAAATTTCATATCATTGACCCAACATAGTTGAGATTGAGGTGGTGGTGATGACTTGCCACCAATATACGTTTTAATTTGGCTAGTGACACAAGGCAACAGTTTACAGCGCTTAAGACAATCAAATAGCTGGATGCGCAGCCTTCGCACACAGGTTAAGGTGTTGCTGTGTGACTGAGAGGTCACGGACTCACGGGTTCAAGTTTTGGGAGCGGCTGTTAGGAACTTAAGCACCTTGGAGAGCACAACCCAAAAGCTAGCTGTTAAGGTGGGGAGCCAGTCACTTAAGAACCCCACCAAGCATCCCATTCTACTCTCGGTATGGGACTTTTGGTATCCCATACTACCTAGGTCCCTAACAACACACCCTCCCCGAAAAGATGACGTCCCGGGCTCCCGGCGGCTATACTCGGCAGCACTTCACTCGGCCGATCCGCCGGTCAGAACCCTCCGCCGGTAGCCCCTTCTTGGCCCGCCGACAACCGGCTCTGATACCATTGTTAGGAACTTAAGCACCTTGGAGAGTCACACCCCAAAAGCTAGCTGTTAAGGTGGGAGAGCCAGGCACTTAAGACCTCCCACCAAGCATCCCATTCTACCTTGTGGTGGGACCTTTCCCCGGACCATCACGTTGCAGGGACGACAATGTGCACTGGGCTGCCCCCCAAGACAAGCGAATGGCCTCTTATGCATAAATCAAAAAACAAGGATTACATCATATAGTAAGTGAAACAATCGAGGGACCAAACTCACCAAAGATACAATTGCCTCTGAGAAATATCAAGCTATAAGAAATAAAAGACCGGAACCAACCTCATTATCACCATCTGCTCCATAAGCTGCAGCTTCTACGAGTATAAAGGAGAATAAAGTAGGGTATCAATGCTTTAAGCAGATTATAAGTTCAACTTTCAGGTGGCTGACAATTATAAAAAAGTTCACAACACAAAACAAAACCAAGCCTTCAAACAAGCAATTTTCATGATTATTCCATGTTCATAATCTGCTTCAAATTGTTTATCCAGCACACAATGTAAACAGTCCCTTACCCAACAACTCCTTAATTTAGTCAGATTACTACACACAAATATCTTAGTCCAGGCAAGACTTACTAGAAAAAAGTATGCAACCTTTGTAGTACTTCAGGAGTAAGGCATACTTAATCATTTAGTGGGAATCTTGAGCCTCGATCACTCAAACACATTATAACATGGTCAGATTGTGCAACTTCATTATTACCCTCGATAGCGCAAAGTGTATATTGGGTAAGCAAACCCCACCTAATTCAATTACTTTCCAACTTTTCATTCTCCCTACTAGAGAGTATCACTAGACTAAGAAATCAAAATCAACCCCAGGAAAAAGATACTACAAACCCTCAGACTTCTAAGTATTGTGCATTGAGGTCTTCAGTTTTAAAAGTCTAAGATAAATTGTGGAACCCAGTTAAAATACGCAATTAGCTTTTTTTAGGAAGTTATATCCTGGAAACAAATCACGAGCATCCATTCTGCCTTAAAACAATACAAATTTGGCTAATGTAAGAAGAGAAGTATCTGTCATCTTAAACAAAAAAGAGAGAAAATGGAAATTCTCCATCAAAACCAATCTATATTGTATCCCATAAAAACAAATCCTGTGCACAAAAAGATTTGGCACATAAAAAGTGCCATTGGCGTAGCAAAGCAAACCCCGCGGGAGCCATATAACAACACCGGACGGTAGTGATTAAGGACAAACAATAAGGCTTAAAACCTTTCTGGAGGGGTGTGTAACCAACAAGTAACAAAGACACTTTATCAAATTTATCATATCCAGCTGTAGCATCACGAACAAAGCTACTACTACACCGTACAGTCGTACACCAAAGACAATATTGGAATTTTGTAAAGACTCTTTGATCTCAACACATGGTATATTATTTCCCCTTCCACAACTGATTATCCTCATGATTTTCCACCAGGCAAGAGCAAAACACGTGTGGAGGGGCTTTATTACAAACAACCAGGGTACTACTTGGCTGAGTGATAAAGGCCCAATCCACTAATACAGTAATATAAGCTGGCCTACCTAAGGAATAGAGTCCAGTCCTCCATGTATTACTAATTAATACTTCGTATACTACATGAGTCCATCTACCCCCAACTAAACCTGTTTTCGTTTTTGTCTGTCTCAAGGTCATTGTTTCCTTTTAAATAAAGAATTGAGTCATTATTTATATAGGGAAAGTTTCCGAAATAGGACTAAACGGGTTTTCGAATTTCAAAATAAGACTCCTATGTTTTTCTTCCCAAAATAGGAGTAACATGACAATATTTACTGACATCTTGTCGTCATTACTGCCAAATAGGTGTAGTACTAGGCATTAAACAGGGTAATATTTACTATCATTAATAATAATATTTTTCAATCATGGTAGTATTTTTCAATCATGTCAGTACGGACTCCTATTTCGGGAAAAAATATAGGAGTCCTATTTTGGAATTCCAAAACTTATTTACTCCTATTTGGGGCAATTTCCCTATTTATATATCATCTAGATATACTCCCTCCGTCCCATATTTATCTTCGTAGTTCGGTTTACGATGCTTGACTGACGATAAAACAACTTGATCCCTGTTCACACTCAGATTATTTTTAGTAAACTAAATTTACATATTCAGAAACTACATTAAACCCGCTACAAAGGCTGATCAAGAAAATTTAAGTTTGATAAAAATTTGATATATAAAGTAAAAGTTTAAGAGTGATTTGAATTGACCGTGTGAACAGTAACTATGAAGATAATTTTGGGACGGAGGGAGTATTACAATAACACAACTTCACTATTCTAGTATGATTTGTAAGTGTGCTAAATCAAACGAGGAGCCTTATTTCAGACAAAGACAGTACATGTTTACGCAGCTTAAGAAATGAAAGGAAATCAAATTCAATGTATAAAATACCCTGCTAATGCAATCCTAATATTTAAGCCGTTCAACTCATAAATTGATAAATCATACTCCGTAATACAATAAGTTACTAGGGTTTTGATTGATAATGTTGAATTAGATCTTCTTTCTGATAAAGAAACATAAGAAATCCAAAAACGTACGGAAGGAGAACAAGAAAAAGGGGACATACCTGCAATTAATGAATCAAGCGAAGGCTGCGGCAAAGACTGGTGGAGCGCGGAATCGGTGGGCGATGAAGCAGTTTGAGTAGCGGTAGAAGTGTGAGATTGATCGGCTGATGCTGCAGCAGCTACGTCCCCACTCTGCACTTGACCCATATCACACTAGCAGCTAGATAATAGTCTTACTTGCTTGCGGTTCACCTTTCTTTCTATTGAACTTGATCGATATCAACCAAATATGGAAGCTGTTCTGATTTTAAGAACAAACTACTACCCCGCTCAAACTCTTATTTTCAAATACGGAGTATTTCTCTATTGACTTCCGGCAAACTGCGCTGTGAGCTTGCCTCCATGTTAGTTGAAAAGTGGCTGGGGATGCTTATTTTCCTACACCATCTGTCTACAAGATAGAGTTGTGAAAAGTGTGCCAAAAGTGCAATATCTATTACTCCCTCCGTCCCGAATTGAATTGCAAACTTTGACCGGTACAAGGATTAATGAATGACAATACATGATCCTTGCTTTTTACACTTTTGCTCATCTTTTTAAAAGTAGATATCTTTAAGTTAATGAGTAAAAAGTAAAAATAAGAGTAAATTTGTCACTTTATTCTTATTTACATATCTAAAATAGAAAGTGGAAAACCATTTTGGGACAACCAAAATAGGAAATTTTGCAAATCAAATTGGGACGGAGGGAGTAAATGAGTCAAAGCTAAGAAGAGACTGCTATAAGCTTTGACATTCTAGCTTTTTAGCCACTTATACACAAAAAGTTATCTGATTTGTACTAGGCACACCATATTAATGCAGAGAAAGAAAGAAACACATACTATTATGCATATTTGATATGAGGGATAGTGCTAGAAGATAGCATTAGTGATGTCGAATTAAGTAATACATAGTAATGTAAAATATAATACTTAAAAATAGATATTTAAATATTTGGCCTTAATATTTAACTAATAAATGTTACAGGAAGTCGATGTAGTCTTTGGAACTACACGTGACAATAGAGAGAAGACAGATACGAATGGTAAGGACTGGCTATATTCTAGGAATCAATATCGGATTCTGAACACGATTGAGGTTTCTAGCCAAAGTTTAGCTTCAAAATTGGAACTGTATGGACTGATTTTCCTCATCCTCTCCTTAAGATCAGAATATTTTGATCAAATTTTTCTTCTTCAGCGTGCAGAAGAAGTTGCAGAGGAAGGCTAATTTACATGACAAAATTTATATTAAAGTGCCATGGTTTCATCAGAGTATAGACGTTATCAGATTGATATAGAAGACGGTGATATGAAGGGGGGATGGTGAGGGTGCAACACTAAGCGGATACAAGATTAAACGGTGTGCTTAACAGAAGAAAATGTGTTAGCTACCAAATAAGGAGAGTAGTCATTTGAAACATAACGGTTACAGTGCCACCAATGTGCATCATGAAGGAAGCAGGTGGACTGAGATGGACTATAATACACATTAAGTACTAGTTGTCCTGAGATGTAAAACTTCATTCTTTTGGTCATTAAACATTGTGGTTATATATTAGTTACATTTTTATTTCAAATATGATCATATATAATATCCTTTGTTGTTTCAAATGAAATGAGAGTTCATTTTTACTTTTTAATTCATGTTGAGTTCACTCCTGTAATATAATTATAGGATGAAGTTCATAAATAGTCAATAAGATGTCTTTAATTAACAAACGGAGACATTAAATGACTACAACTAAAGCAAGTACACAAATTACTTACAACTTTAAGTAAAAACTCATAGTACCAATGGACTTTAAAAATTGAACTAGTGAAATAAATTTCAGATACAAGACATATAAAATAAATATGAGCTATTAATTGTTGAAGGTGGACACCAAAACATTTCATACAAACATTTGTTTCACATACATATTAAGTGGAAAATTTGAGTTGAAGATGAGGCTAGGAAGAGATGGGGAGCATCCTGAGTAGACAAAATTGGCATGTTAAATGCACTTTTGAGTATACAGTAAATATGTACAACAAAGGTGGTCACTAATCAGACACTAAAAAGTCATTAATTTCATATATGTCAGCTAATTTTTTAAACAATCATTATTCATTAAACTTGAGTAAGAACACAAAATACCATCATCTCCAATTCCAATAAACTATGGCAACTTACATAAGGTCCATTTCCAATAAATCTTGGAAATTAAAAACTATGAGCATATCACATGTAACACCGTCCCCAAATATATTTACTCTTTAGTAAATCATGTAATAAATCTTGAATATTGATTTATGAATTTACGTGGTTGTAAATTTTTGGTTATTTCTTACGCATGAATAGTGAATTGCACGTGGAGCCCACACCGGGAGCGGGGACTGTCCGGTAATCCTGGGACCACATATTATATTCATCTTGGTCTAGATAATATTTATATGATGGTATATATTTTAGTTGGGCCATAGAAAGAGCTTAGAGTTGACCCGTCGGTCAAATGAAGCCCAATTACCGGTATTGGTAATTTACCGGATAACAGTCCGAATTGAATTTCGGAGACTTCTAAATTATAGTTGGGGAATCTAAAATTATTCTAAAGGTACACAGTGATTGAAATCACACAATATATTTTATTTGACCCGATAAAATAAAATATAATTAAAACAGTTCGAGAAATACAACTTTCAGGACCAATTGTACACTTCTGGACAAAAAGGGTTGACCTCCCACATGGGTGGGGGCTGACCCACGATTTTGGCCACTCAAATCAGAGAGTTGGCCGGCTGAGATGAGGAGGGAACATGGAGAGGTGTGAGGTGAAGGAAATAAAAGGCATCAAACAAAAAGGGTGGGCCTCCCCCCACACCACTCATACCTTTGAGACAAAAATTACGAAACCCCCACCCTTCCCTTGATCAGTTCGGCCAGACCACCTCCAATCAAGAGCAAGAAACCTCACAACCACATTTCTCCATAGCCAAAGCAAACTCAAACAACAAGAAACTCAAGGGAGAAAAGTAAGTAGCAAAAGTAGAGAAAAACTTGGAAAATAAAGGTGAGGAGTTCTTTAATAACTTTTCTTCCATCATTTGTTTTCCATATGAACTCTATATCCTATGGAGGACCCCTAAGTCCAAGAACGGACTTAGAAGCCAAAACGACCGGTTCACCGGAAAATAACCTTTTAGGGGTTATTTGTGTTGATATGAGTTTTGTAATGATAAAACCATGTTAGGAGCTTGACTAAAGTGGTTCTAGATTTCTACGGAGTTTCGCCGGAGTTCGCCGGAGTCTCGCCGGAGTTCAACTAAGAAGAGTAGAATCTTCCTAAAGCTCATTTGAGGTGAGTGGGTGGCTTAATGTCTTGTAACTTTTGGGTTAAGCATGAGATTACCTAAGTATATGTTATGTGTGTTCATAATAATGCTTAAATGAATTAAACATGTGATTAGCCAATTAAAGTGATTAGGCTTGTATGAAGTGAACTATTGAAATATGCATGATTTGTGAAGTGAAAATGCTCATAAAAACATATGTAATATGTTTAGAGATGAAATGTTCATAAAATAGTTATTTATAACTTAGTACATATTGTGACTAAGTTTGACACACATTGGATTTGGAATGGCGGGTCAACCGAGAGTTGACCGGCGCCGGTTTGGCCTTACTTTACCTATATGCTAATTTTAATGCATGAGTTGCATGGATGATTTTGTTTAGGCCTTAAGACTTGGTCTAGTCTTGTTTATTGATTATGATATAGGCCCTATCTAGTATGATATGTGGTAGATCATAGGTCGGGTGGAGTACCAAGGGATCGGGCGGTATCCTCAAAACTCGGTTATATAGGGTGGAGTACCTAAGGATCGGACATTATCCTCAAAACTCGGTTAAATAGGTTGGAGTACCCAAGGATCGGGCGGTATCCTCAAAACTCGGTTATATAGGGTGGAGTACCCAAGGATCGGGCGTGTATCCTCAAAACTCATAGATTACTATTTAGTAATTCAGGATCGGGCGGTGTCCTTATGATTATTTGATTTGGACAGGAGGAGTCCTATACATTCATAGGTCTATGGATGGGTTGGGGTTTTAAGTCAAGGACATTGACTACTATTATTTTTCTCAATTAAACAATGACCTACGGGTCGGGTATTTCCATGTGTATATAAGTACTCATATGTATTTTGTAACTTGGGGTAAGGAAGTATAAGTATATGTATCACCCTATGTTTGGATCTTATACTTGAAACGTTAGTTACTCTTGCTACTCGCCCGGTACTTGTACTGACCCCTTCGTGGGGGCCCCACCATTTTAGGTTGAAGCTAGAGTCTGTTGTCTATACTGCCTGGCACAGTACAAAAAGATTTAGAGAAACTCTCTCTCTAGGTCTAGCTTTCGCATGACGGCTGCGGCGGTGGCGGTGCCACCAGGGGTTGGTCGGGCTTGGTCGGGTAAATCTTTCGCAGATGTGGTGGCAGATCGACGGCCAGTGTCTTTGAAGGAAAAAATCCCTTCGAGGTACAAAGGGATGCCGGTGATCAGTTTTACAGAAGGGGAAATTAACTTGTTAGCGGAAAAGCATAAGCTTGCGTTAATAGGTTATTTCTTCAAAGGAAAGCCCAACTTATTGGTGATTCGTAAGGCATTTGAAATTATTGGTTTTAAGGGGGCTTTCCATCTCGGAGTCCTGGATCCTAAACACGTTCTCATTAGGTTTGAGATGGAGGAAGACTTTATCAGGTGTTGGAATAGACAGGCGTGGTCTATTCAAGGGCATATTATGCGAGTGACTAGGTGGACTCCGGATTTTAGGCCTAACGTTGAATCACCGGTGGTTCCGGTGTGGATATCATTGGAAGGTCTACCAATTCATCTTCAAGATCAACGGGCTCTTTTTGACATTGCTAGGCTTATTGGTAAGCCTCTGAAAACAGATTCAGCAACAACTGCCCTTTCTAGGCCAGCCATTGCTAGAATATGTGTGGAGCTTGATCTCACTAAGGAGATGCCCCAAAGGGTTTGGATTAATTGTGGCTCATCAGGTTTTTCTCAGTTTGTGATCTATGAAAATAGACCAGACTATTTCACGGCTTGCCTTCACTTAGGACATGCTCATCAAAAGTGTCCTAAGAAAAAGGTTGATCAGATTAAAGGAGTGGACACAGATCAGGGACATATACAAAAAGCAAAGAAAGAGCAAGCACATAAACAGATTACAAAACTGACATGGGCACAAAAAGGTAAAGAAAAAATTGCGGAAAAATTAGATACAAATTTGCAATCTACTTCTAAGGGATTTAGACAGGAAATCTCTTCAGATGAGGAAGAAGAAGTCTTCTTGGATCCACTGGAGCAGCCTGCCATGGAGATTAAGAATCAAATTAAAGAGCTTCTCAAATCAAACATTTC